GGCTCCAACCAGACTACTCCCGTGGTAGTGCTGGCACCAGGACAGAGTACCGCTGGTCTCTGCCCACTCAGCAACCCACCCAGTACGCTGACCAGTCACCCACACAGCCATGGTGAGGCACCTGGACACGGACAAAGTTCCCCTCTACCCAGGTGTAGTAGCCAGTTATTGTGGGTGGGCTGTATTACTGATTGTGTTGTGTGGGTGGGCTGCTGGACTAACAAGGGCACTGACCGGCAGGAGGTCAGATACCCTGTTAGTCTGATTGGTAAAGGGGAGAAGTGTGGCGAAACCAACCTCGCCACTGTGCACTGGAGAAGCCTGGTTGCCAGCCTCCTGCCATCTGACTATGGCCCCCTTTTAAAAGACTTTATTTTTGCCTGCAGAAAAGCTGTATTCGTGCTTTTCTGCCTGGGGTTCGGTAGATGTGTTTGAATGTGTTATACCCCAGATAGGAATCCCATGGAGCCCATTTGTATGAAACTGACTGTAAAGACTTTGGCTCCATGGCGATTAAACTGTATTCGTGTGGTCTGAGCGCCATTCACTTAATAATGTGCGCTCAGACCTGAGCTATCTGGGGATATGTGAAATGTCTGTGTGTTATGTGTAAAGGTGACTTTATGTATTTTAAAGTGTTTTGTGTCTTTTGCAACCATGTGCTTAATGGAGTCTTGTGTCTGTCCTGGGAGATAATTGAATTACTTATCTCCAGGATAGAAGACTCTGAAACTGGTTTGGGCCAGAAAGCCATGCTTCATTTAGTCACAAAGGACTTTTTACTAACTTTTGAACCCCTTGTCTGATTTGTGCCATTTTTGAATATGTTGTTCCCCTGAATGGATTGATTGTGAATATGTAATTTTATGTGAATGTGATGTATGGTTTTGGAGTTATGAAAGTTGGGTAGAAAGTATGTTTTAACTGTATGTGTAATTGAGTTTCCTCTCAGGATAAGGGGAGGGAATATGTGGGATGTAACTGTGATGTGATTGGTTGTTTTGTAACGCCCTGTGGGCTGTACTATGTTTTGTGGATTGTAATAAAAACCAGGCTGGGTGTGCCAGCACTGGAGATTCTGCTTAACCCTCAAAACGAAGTGTCGTCTCGTTATTGGGGGAATTGGATTGTGTGCTGACTGCCAGGAGTGTAAGCCGTTCGTATTGCTTTTCCTGTTCGGCTGCTTCCAGAGTTCGTGTATTTCTTGTTCGTGAGTTGGGGATTCGTACAGTTTGGAGTTCGGGAAGTTGGTGTTTGCAATAGCTGCTGGTCTATGGGAAAGGGGATTATCGCCTAAACCGATTTTATCCCCTTGTGAGAGAAACGGTCCGTTACAAGAACCATCAAATACTGTGCTTACAGCGCATTTTTAAACATTTAAATTCTTTAGGTGCTAAAAAGTAAATTTGGGGCGTGCACTTCATATCTGAGAGTCAAATAGAACTGTCAAATACTGTGCTTAGAGCGCAGTTTTAAAAATTCTAATTCTTTAGGTGCTAAAAAGTCAATTTGGTGCCTGCACTTCATATCTGAGAGTCAAATAGAACCGTCAAATACTGCTGTGACATAGCAGTTTTAAACATTCAAAGTTTTTTGCTGCTAAATAGTACATTTGTGACCTGCGGTGCACTTCATATCTGAGAGTCAAATAGAACCGTCAAATGACCGTCAAAATACTGTGGTTACAGCGCATTTTTAAACATTCAAATTGTTTTGGTGCTAAATAGTAAATTTGGAGCCTGCACTTCATATCTGAGAGTCAAATAGAACCATCAAATACTGTGCTTACATTGCAGTTTTAAACATTCCAATTCTTTAGGTGCTAAACAGTAAATTTGGGACGCACAAACCTGTAGCTCCGTGCTCACAGCAGCCACAAAGCCTAAAATCTGAAACCCTTACCTCCGAAAACTGACCATAAAAGCTCATTGGGTCGACCTGGACAACATGGGGCGCAAATCTACGCGACCAACGACGGACAAACCCGCACTGGGACTCACTATTGGGGACAAGTGGAGGCAAGCGCATGGCGCCAGCGGGCCCAATATGGCCGCGCTTTCCAGCGGCTGCTCAAACTTCTCTGACGACTCTGATGAAGATTACTTACCCATGCCCACACCGGCTCCCTCACAAGCGCCAATACACACCAAAGCAGGGTCTGACTCCTCACCTGTGACCACAGCGGTCCTCAAGAAACTGCTGGCAGACCTACAAAGAAACATCTTGGCGGACATCACGGCGGTACGCACTGACCTGCAGGGGCTGACGGGCCGCATAGGGGCCCTAGAGGGAACTTCCCACACAAGCACCCAACAAATTGCCAAGCTACACCAAACCGTACAAGATCTGCAGCAGCAGACCCTGCTACATGAACGCCGCCTTGCGGCCCTAGAGGACACACAGAGACGAAATAACCTCAAACTCAGAATAGTCTCCGACGACATCTCTGAGCAGGAAATGCCACACTTCTTGAGACGCATGCTGGTGGCCCTGCTGCCACCGAGGCAGGGGAAAGCCATCACACTGGACAGATTCTTCCGACTCCCTAAACCCAACAAAGCGCCAGCCACATCCCCCAGGGACTTGATAATTACCTTTCAAAACGGTAATGACAAAGCAGCGGTCCTCACATCACTACGGGACAAATCCCCCCTCCACTTTGAAAACATGGCGATATCATTTTACGCCGACCTATCGAGTGGCACGCTAGCATGGAGGTGATGGCTCCGACCGCTCACCTCCCTACTCCAACAACATGGGACTCAATACCGCTGGCACCAATCCCACAAGTTAACGGTCAAGCAAGAAAGCGAAACGTACTACATTCAAGACCTCCAAAGCTCAGCGACACTACTGTGGGATATGGGCCTGTCCATGGACTCGCTGACACAACAGGCGGTACTCAACCCACACCTGGTATCCAGCAAGAACCACCATTTTCATCCCCCAAGGAAGAACACCCGACTCCTATGCAGCTGTCACTACTTAAAGGGTGACTCAAACGACCCACGGGCCGAGACTGCATGTTTATTGTTTAATGAACACTACCCATGGTTTTACTGACCTGTTATTCACTGTTATGACGACCTCATTCTACTGTTGTAGAGATCGCACCCCATTCTTTCCCCCTACGACGCCCTACCTAGCTAGCGGACACACCACAGACATGTCAGCCAACACATGGCAAAAGATACTACCAGACATGCTAACTCCTACACATATACACAGGAGGACCGACATACAGCACGCTCGCTCCACTGCCATCTCATGGCCCCTGCAATCACTCACTCACCACATGCTTAGTAACAACATTTACTGCAACCACATCTCTCTGGGCCATCGAAAGTAATCCTAAACTGGGCAACCGTACACAGAGGGTGGGGATGCAGCAGTTCCATGTCTCATGGGAATGCATAATATGCTCCGTGTCCATATAGCTATAAGTTACACTCAGTCTACAGGGGACACCTAGCCTACAACCTATTACCTGTACTTTGTATAACCCTGCAATATTACCTCAAAGCTACAATGTTGTAGGCAGTATGTATAGCCTGTCAGTGTATTTTTAGTTTGAGTTGAGTTCTACACTGAAAACACATGCACTGGTACTGGCAGGCTGGGCAGTACTGTACTCTACTTAAATCGAGTTTCACGCTTCTACTGCTTGTTTTAATTCTGTAACCTTCTACATTTAACCTAAACCTGCTGTGCAATCCAGCTATTAGATAGAGAGCTACACAGGGTTACCACACCTACACAGCAACACCTGGTTAATGTTACTACTTACAACCTGCTCTATGACTCCTACAGCTAGTCTTAGTTTAACACGACATAGTAGGATTTCTCCTACTGGCTTGGTACAAGCTTGTTTCACTAAAACACAGGAGCAGTCAGGTACTATGACAGGCGAGGTCAGATCAATATATCATTGCAAAGTTTTAACCTGACATTAACCTCTACTGTGCCCAAACTATGACGTAGATCTGTGAACCACGCTAATATTACTGTTTACCCTTGTTATGCATAGTCAGTCTCACAATATATTATAAAATGTGCAATGTTATTAGATGTCATATCTTTGTCTACCTGTTCATCCTTAGCTGGCAATAGCTATCGTGGCATTGCTTGTCTCTATGTATTGTTTTTTCTCTGCACGGAAAATAATGAATTAAAAAACAAAACAAAAAAAACCCCGTAAATTTGGGGCCTGAACTTCATATCTGAGAATCATATAGAACTGTCAAATACTGTGGTTACAGCGCATTTTTAAACATTCTAATTCTTTAGGTGATAAAGTCATATCTGTTGTATGTGTGCAACACTGGCTAGTTACAGCTTCTCAGGAAAGTCTAAAGACTTTTTAAAAAAGTGAAAAATAAGTGTTATTGTGATCGCTTCATATACAGAAGCATTAATATACATTTCTATATTGTGTAAAGACACAACTACAACGTTAAAAACCAAACACCAAAACAACGTGGAATGAAGGTCATGCGAGTTGTGTGTGCAGTTTGGAGGAAGAGGCGCTGGTCGCAAGAGGCACCAGCACAGCATAAGAGGGAGCAGGGTGCAAAAGCGGAGCGGCCGTCCCCTAGCGCTCATCGGCCTGTATTATCTTTAGAATTCCCTCAGTTATATAAGTAACAGATGGAGCGATAAAAGGAACCATAACAGATTTAACGAGCCATTCGCAGTTTCACAGTCAGAGGGGCAGTCCGGTGACCGGGACCCAGAGACTGTCTGGGCGGCGGTCGGACGACCGGGACCCACTATGCCTGATGTTGAAGTTAGGAGTCACAGTGTGAAATGGATTAGCAGGGTCTGGTGCAGGGTAACAAATGCAGCTTCAGCGAGGAGCAGCAGGCGAAAGTGGAGTTTCAGCTGCAGCATGCACAGGTCAATCACTCTGCACCAGACTTCCCCTCCAATTGATCCAAGTTAAAGGATTTAAAGTGGACTCATTACAATTACAGTGCCTCGAAAGAGTAGTGTATTGTTATTTGTCACTACCTCCCCGCGTTGGGAGCGGGTAATTTGTGCGTCTGCTGCCTTCCTTGCATGTGGTAGCCGTTTCTCAGGCTCCCTCTCTGGAATTGAACCCTGATTCCCCATTACCTGTGGTCACCATGGCAGGTGCGGAAAATAGCATCGAAAGTTGATAGGGCAGACATCCAAATGCGTTGTCGCCGTCACAGGGACGTGCGATCGGCACGAGGTTATCAGAAACAAAAGCAGCCGTCTGTCCACGGCCAACGTGGACAAGCTCACGTTTATTAAAATGAACCAGGCATGCATCCCACCAGACTTGTCTGTACCTTGTGCAGAATAGACATTGATACTGGCCTCACCCAGCCATTGTTATACTCAAGTGCACTTATTCTTTTTTTATGTCCCAATATTTTTGGGGCTACCCCAATTAAAAAACAAACAAACAAACAAAAAAAAAACAACAGTGTTGGCTACCTCCTCCTCCACTGCCACGGTGTATACCTAGATATATCAGAGCTGCTGCAGAAAGTGCGTAACTTTGGCCCTCCCGCTCACTGCCTCATATGCGACGTGCCCACAAGGTGGAACTCCACCTTGCACATGCTGGAGAGACCGTGCGAGCAGCAGCAGGCGATAGCGGAGTTTCAGTTTCACGGGGGGGAAGAGGGGTCATTTCCACGGTTATCAGGCCAGTCATTCACAAGTGGCTCAGAGGGTGGGTTCCTGCACCAGCATAGGCCAGGTACACAATTGTCCAGCATCTCCACACTGTCCCATGGAAGCGTTCAGCTGTCCATTTCCCAAACACTGGAGAGAAAGAGGAAGTACCCCCCCCTAGCCACCCCTGAATGCCAGCATTTCAAAATTTGTGGCCTTTGAAATGCTGTCATTCCGTCTGGTGGAGACGGACAGTTTTCAAAATCTGATAGCATTATTGGACTGCACCACAGGCCGCAAATGTTTATTTTTTTATGTGTCCCAATATTTTGGGGGCTAACTCAATAAAAAAAAAATAAAAAACAGTGTTGGCTACCTCCTCCGCCACGGTCACTGCCTCCTCAACCTCCTACTGCACATCCACCTCCTCCTCCTAGAGCAGGGTGCAAAAGCAGAGCGGCTGTCCCCTAGACAGTATGTCTGCTACTGCCCACCGCACCCAGGGACCGAGCACACCAAAGCCAGCTCCAAGGAATTCCCTGGCGTGGCAGTTCTTCAGACAATGTGCTGACAAGACACTAGTGGTTTGCATGACCAAAAACACACAAAACTTCGGGATACGGCTGAAAGTGAATCTAAAAGGAACACAAAAAAATATACAAATAGTGAAGTACAGTCAATATATTCAAATCATGCGCTGTACATGAGTGCACTCACAAGAAGATGCAGAATATATCGCTCGTAGGGTGCCTCCCCCGATAAAGATGGGGGGCCAATGATCCCTTGTTTCCTTACAGGGTACCGTAGTAATACTCTGGACTCCAAACGGGAAATGGTAGAAAAAACGATGCTTTTATTAATAAAAGGTGAGAAACACCTTCAATATAAAATTATAATATAAAAAAAACAAACAGTATGGTACTACGCGTTTCGTTCTGTAAAGAACTTCCTCAGGGACCGTGACAGTAAATAAAATCAAAGCATGAAATTACAGCATGTAAAAAACATCCTATTCCCCCCATCCCCGAGTCCCCTTTAAATAGGGCTAATCCCTATGTCCATTGGTGATTCCATGGGTGGTGTCAATCCTCTGTCTCCTGATTGGCCTCACAGGGGAACTTCTCAGCTGATTATTATCCCTATTCCAGCGTTGAAATCAAATTTGGCGCATCCATATAATCGAAACCGGAAGTGTGTATTGTTCCGTACTTCCGCGTTCCATATGCGTGCCACGTGCGTTCCACCTGCGTTCCACCTTCAAATTACTTCAATATCATTAGTGATCATAAAAAATCAACACAGAGCAGTATATTAAACAACCTCTAGAAGGAAAAATAAAATTAATAACTTCATAACTATTAGAGAAGTGTTGTATTTTAATAATTGGTATTAACATCTTCAGACTATAGTTCAAAAAAGCTCTAGTCTTAAAGTGAAATTTAAATATATGAAATTTAAAGGTGTATGGTCTAATTTCCTCAAAAGATCTTAATTAATATTAAAAGAATATGTAAGAATATACAAATTTTATACCATAAACAAAAAATCCCAATAGAGGTTACTAAGTGATTAATATTAAACCATAATATCAAATAATGAGCATATCGTATTATGTTCCCATTAACAATCTCCGTTATTTAATGGAATTACACATATACCTGTTGTCCCAAATAGACAAAAAAGAAGAAGGGAAATAAACACATAAATTTTTATTTATTTTTTTATCTTTCTTCCTTCTTTTCTTTCTAAACTACAAGATTCAAGAGATCCGTTCACAATCCATACTAAATTTATTACACAACATATTTCGACCATAGAAGAAACATTAATTTTAATCAAGGAAACAAACTAGGTCAATACCTGTATTCAGACCCCTTGGTTCTAATGTTCTCAATTTGTGTATCCAAAAGGTTTCCCTTTGTGATAATTTTTTAACCCTATCCCCACCACGCCAGAAAGGGAAAACTCTTTCGATACCAATATATCTAAATTCCCTAAAAGTAAACAGTGGACAATTAGAACAATGGGCTGAGACAGAGTGAGTAGCCAATTTTTTTCTAATATTATTCAAATGTTCGCGTATTCTAACCTTCAAAATTCTTTTTGTTCGTCCCACATACTGTTTCCCACACGGACATTGCAGTAAATACACTACATAGTCCGTGTGGCAACTGATCTCGGATTTTACTTTAAATCTTTCTCCTGTAACATTGCTACAGAACTCCACAGTCCTAGGTGAATATGTAGTAATACAGGCTTTACAAGATCCACAGCCCCTAAAACAACCCAAACCTAGGGAAGTATTAGTACTGGGGTGTTTGATAGCATAACTCGGAGCTAATAGGTTCTTAAAATTCTTATTCTTTTTATAGATCACCGTAGGGCGATCTGATAAAGACCTTCCCAAAACTGGGTCCTGTAGTAAGATAGGCCAAAAATCCTGTAGACTCCTTTTAATTTTTTGATGATCAGTGTTATATTGGGTTATGAATGATGATTTAAAGTTCATACTATTTTCACTCACAGTGACTTTGTCCTCTAATAGTGTGTTACGTTTCATTGAACTGATGGAACGAATTTCCTTGTCCAATGAGTTTTTGTTATTACCCCTATCCATAAGCTTCCTCTTAATGTGTAATGCTTGAACATTAAAATCCTGAAGATTAGAACAATTTCGCCTAACGCGTGTAAATTGGCTCTTGGCTATACCTCGTAGCCATGGTTTATGGTGACAGCTTCGTTGATGTACGAAACCGTTACCATCTGTTGGTTTAAAGAAACACTTAGTCTGGATCTGATCCTGATCACAAAAAAGAACAAGATTCAAAAAATGTATTTCATATTGGTTCCATTCTGGGGTAAAGACCAAACTATACAAATTACAGTTAAGGTACCGGACAAAATCCTGGAAAGCAACCGAAGACCCCTTCCAAATAATAATAACATCGTCAATATATCGCCGCCATAGGACCAGGCTCTCCCTCCAGCCATGCCCCGACCACACAAAGAGTTCCTCCCATCTTCTCATGTAGGTGTTGGCATAGCTGGGGGCGAACCTGGTACCCATGGCAGTCCCTGTAGTCTGTAAATAATAATCACCATTAAAGAAAAAATAATTATGATCCAATATAAATTGAACTGAAGATAGAATAAACTCCCTTTGACCTACAGATAGTGTGTTATCCTCAGACATGTAGTAGTTAATTGCCTCCAATCCTAAGTGATGGCTAATTATGGTGTACAGGGAGGCCACATCTAATGTGGCCCAACTGTACTCCGAATCCCATTCAATACACTCCAATTCCTGTAAAAAGGATTTCGTATCTCGAATATAAGAAGGTGCCTCCTGTGCATACTTTTGTAAAAAAGAGTCAACATAAGCAGATAAGTTGGCAGTTAACAAGTTAACTCCGCTTATAATGGGGCGACCTGGTGGATTAGGAAGACGTTTATGTGTTTTAGGCAAAAAATAAAAAATTGGGATAACAGAATTCGTCTGGAATAAAAAATCTAAATTCTTTTGTGTAATCAGAGCCTGAAGCGAGGCATAAATGTGCTAAACCTGAGCACAACCTGCATGCATCTACATGCAAAAGCACGAGCGGCAGTGGAGTAAGCACCTCAAAAACCAAGAAAGGTCTCAGGCTCCTCCTGCTTCCTCTTCTACTGCTGTCTCGGCCTCTTCCTCCACCTCTGGAGTGACAGTGGCACCTTCAAACCCGCAAACAGAGGATGTGGCAGCAACGCCACCATCCCCAAGCATCTCCACACTGTCCCATGGAAGAGTTCAGCTGCCCATCTCCCAAACACTGGAGAGAAAGAGGAAGTACCCCCCTAGCCACCCCTGGCCCTGAATGCCAGCATTTCAAAATTTGTGGCCTTTGAAATGCTGTCATTCCGTCTGGTGGAGACGGACAGATTTAAAAACCTGATGGCGTTATTGGACTGCAAGAAATGCACCGATGGTCGCAAATGTTTCTTTTTTTTATATGTCCCAATATTTTGGGGGCTACCCCAATTAAAAAAACAAACAAACAAACAAACAAAAAAAGCGTTGCCTACCTCCTCCTCCACCTACACCGCCACGGTCACCGCCTCCTCAACCTATGGGTCACTTAGTATAAACTATGTACACAATAGCAGAAGCTTGTGAAGGCCTTTTCTCCATGCTTTAGGAGTTGAGCTCAGTTTGAACACTGAAAGAGAATACCCTGCACTCCAATCCTCTCTCAAATGGATAATTCTGGTGATCCTCCTGACAGCCATGCTTTAGATTTTGATTTATGTTCTTCCAAAGCTAAAATCAAAGATTCCATCTAGTGCTATTTTATGGCTCAGCTGTATTTTTAATTTTTATGTATTTAATGTAATTTCCCATTTGTTTGTAGGGCACTTGTCCTATTCTTACCCCCATTTTACTTCATTTTGCAGCCCTCTAGCCCTTTCCAGGACTTTTTTAGAGCCATTTTTGTGCCCAAAAGTTCGGGTTCAAGTTCGAGCCCGAACCTGGACTTTTTTCTGAAGTTCGGCCGAACCCAAACATCCAGGTGTCCGTTCAACTCTAAACATAACCAGTCTGG